CAGGTTCTAGAACACAAGATCGTGGGGCACTGAAGGTTCATGGTAATATCAGTGATAATCCTAGACACAGCCATTAACCTTACATTACAGGCGAAAAACTGGGGATTTGGGGGGCTTTCTCAGAGCAATGGAACAAGAAAGAGGTCACTGTTGAGATGAGCCAGGTCCCTCTGAAAGAAACTTTGTTTTTAATTAGGGTTGCGTTGGCTAAACTAGCAGGACTTCTAAGGTTATAAACCAGGAGTTGCAGCCCACAACTGTAATCCAAGCACTTGGGCGGTAGAGGCAGGAGAATCGGGAGTTCAAGGCCAGCCTTGGCACGTGAATGCTTGTCGAAAACACCCCAAGGTTCAAGGACCATCAGAAGAGGGGACAGGAAGATTGTAAGAGCCACTCATACATGTACGTGTATACCAGATGTGAAAAGTAAATAAAACCAGTCACAAATTGAGAACAGCATGTCCTTAGTATATAAAAGGCACTTACAAATCAGTCAAAAAGAACAACACCCCTTTGGAATTTTGAGCCCAAGCCAGGCATGGCAGAACACATTCTTAACCTCAGCACCAGAGAGGTAGAGGTAGGTGGGGATTTTAAATTCAAGGTCAGCCAGATCTACAGAGTTCTTGCCCAGTACCAGTCAGAGCTATACAGTGAGACCCTAATTTATTTATTATCAATGCTTTTATTTTTATTTTTATTTTTTTTTTTGAGACAGGGTTTCTCTGTGTAGTCTTGGCTGTCCTGGAACTTGCTCTGTAAAGACCATTCTAGCCATGAACTCAGAGATCCTCCTGCCTCTACCTCCTGCGTCCTGGGATTAAAGGCATGTGCTACCACTGCCTGACTTGAGACCCTGTTTATTGTTTTGATGTTTTAAGTAAAATTGTAAGTCAGGTCTGGTGGCTCACACCTATAATCCAAACACTCAGGAGATTGAAACAGGTGGATTGTCATGTGTGCCTAGAACATATCTTGAGTTCCAGGTCCACCTAAGCACTAGAATGAGACAGTCTCAAAAACGAAAAGAATTTAATATATTCAGATAATATGTAGAAGAATGCAATCACTTTAAAGGTCTGAAAAGAACCTCAAACTTAAAATGAACATAGAGGTTCAAATAGTAACAAGGTATCTTTTTTAAAGTTAACATCTGTTTTGTCTAATGTGCACCACATACATGCATTACCCATGGTGGCCACAAGAGGGCATCAGGTCACCTGGAACTGGAATTAAGTGGCTGAGTTGCCAAGGTAGGTGATGGGAACCAAACTGCCCTCCTTAAAAGCTACAAATGATCTTAACCACCGAGCCATCTCTCCAAACATCTTAAGATACTCTTCTTAAAGATTTATGTTTTGTTTTCTGAATATAGGTGTTTGTCTGCATGTATGTCTGCACACCAGAAAAAAAGCATGGGATCCCATGGGACTACAGTTATAGAGAATTGGGAGCTGCCTTGTGAGGTGTTGGGACCTAAAAGGTACTTTTCTATATAGGGGAAGGTGGTGCTGGGTTTCAACCCCTGGGCCTTACATATGCTAAGCAAGCTCTCCATCATCCAATTATAGCCTCAGTCCTGATGATGATTTTGGGGTTTGTTTAGTTGTTTTTGTTTGTTTTTCTAAGACATGGTTTCTCGGGGGCTGGAGAGATGGCTCAGTGGTTAAGAGCATTGCCTGCTCTTCCAAAGGTCCTGAGTTCAATTCCCAGCAACCACATGGTGGTTCACAACCATCTGTAATGAGGTCTGGTGTCCTCTTCTGGCCTGCAGACATACACACCGACAGAATATTGTATACATAATAAATATTTGAAAAAAGACACGGTTTCTCTGGGTAACCGTGGCTATCCTGGAACTCACTGTGTAGATCAGGCTGGCCTTGAACTCAGAGATCCACCTGCCTTGGCCTCCTGAGTGCCAGAATTAAAGACATGCACCACCACCATCCAGCTGATGGTTTTGGGGTTTTAGCTGTTTTTCTGTACTGTTCTGTTTGCGTGCGTGAGTGGACACAGACATTCATGATCACATGTGTGCACCTGCATATGGAGGGGCCAGAGTGTGATATAGCATGTCTTTCTTTACCAGCACACCGCCTTATTTTTGGAGCCACTGTGCAGACCAGGGTGAGTTCCTAAAGTAGGCTGAGCTGGCTGACCTGCAGGCCCCAGGGCTCTTCCTGCCTCTGTCTGATCAGCGCTGGAACCAAAGCCACATCCTGCCGTTCCCCCCTCCTCCCACTGCCACTTTGGGTTTTGTTTTTTCTGAAATAGGATCTCCCTTTGTAGTCCAGGCTGGCATGGACT